TGATTCCTAGGTATTTCAGTTTTTTGGATGCTATTGTGAAAGGAATTATTTGCCCTATTTCTCTCTCAGTGAGTCTGTCATTCGTGTGGAGGAAAGCTATTGATTTTTGTGAAGCACCACTTTCTTAACAAGCAGAAAATCCATCTGCATATTTTCTGGATTCTTGAATCAGATTCTCCACTGTCCCACTTCGATGCCCATCACAGCACTGATCATATTCCACTGTAATCGGGTGTTTACAAACCCATCTTCCTCACAAGCACAACTGCGACAGTGTGTAAGTTATGAGTATCTATCAAAAGAACAAATGAATCTCATGCATTGTAATTTATAACTGAGAGGCAAGGGCCTTTGAGAGATACGTCTCACCTCTGTCCTCAGAGAACAGCCATGTACAGGTGAATACACTGACTGTCCTGAACCAACCAATACAAGAGCCCATCACTGAGGTCCAGAGTGAGAGCAATAACCTAAAATGAAAATAAAAGAAGGACATGAACTAAAAGCATGTTTGCAGCATACCTTTGTGAACAGGTCATACTTCACATATTTTTTTTAACATCCTCTTTGGAATAATAAACTCAATGATTTTTACTTTTTGCTGAATGTAAAAATTACGTGATTTTGTCTATTACCATGTTATTTGGATATAAATAGTGATTTCCTAAAATTCTCCAAAAGAGTATCTGTATTCACTGTACATATTCAGTTCCAGCAGTTATCAAAGTATGATTCTTGGACCACCAGCAGCAGCAGCTAGAAACTTGGTACAAATGCAATTTCTGAAACACATCTCAACCTGCTTGGTCTGAAACTGAGCCAATGGCAACCCTCATTTAAAACTAAGCATAGAGGGCTGAGGATTTAGCTCAGTGGTTCTGCCGCCTGCCTTGCAAGCTCAAGGACCCGAGTTTGATCCCCATACCAAAGAAAAAAACCCAAAAAACCTAACCATAGAATTGGACATTTTAGCAACTTGACCCAACAAATTTTATTACTGTTAAGGCCAGTTGTTCTCAGACATGGCTGTACAATAGAAACATCTGTGGAGCTTGTTCATGAAATCTCAGTTCCCCAGTTGCAACCTATGAAACTGTGGTCTCTGGGGATCTAGTCCAGGCTCCAGTCTGCTTCAGAACCACCTGAGTCATTCCAGGGTGCCATTACGTTTGAGAATCAAAGGTTTATACCATTTTAAATTGTATTTGCTTGGGGCCTGAGATATAGCTCACACCCACCTGGCAAGTACAAGGTCCTGAGTTCGATCCCCAATACAAGGGAGAAAAAAAAATTAATTGTAGGAGGTCCTGAGTCACGCGGAAGATGCCGAATCAGCCCGCTGCAGACAGGCAGGTCTGTGCAC